GTAGACACTCAAAAATGGTGGCTCATTAGGTATGCAAATGAGGCTCGGCGATATTCCACGCTTAGCCTCATTTGCATATTTCTGGCATAAGAAGCCACCAGTGTAGACATAGCCATCATGTACACATATATACTCAAAGTTACATTATCCTAATATATAAGTGAAACATATCAGGGAATACACTTCCTGGCTAGGGTGCCCAGTAGCGGATATTGTCTAAACTGGCTAATACTGCCAAGGCAGATTACATTGGTACCTTGCAATCCTTTTCCAAAGCTACTCTTAAAAAGGACTCATTAGCTTTCTGACTTCAGAGCCTTTAGGAATGTTCCCTTAATTGCTGCTAAGTAGAGTTTTTCATTTTAAATTTTCAAAATGCATTTTCTACACTACATGCCAAATTCTGTCAGGCAGTGCCAGTCAACTCACAGCCAGAAGTGAAAGTGCTATGAGGAAATTGGCCACTGTGAGAGAGACTATTCCTTCGGCCCTCCATAGTAGGAACAAGCTGTTGGGGGTCTCTGTGGGAAAGGATCTCAGCCCGTGAGTCTACAATGATAGGACAACACAACTCTCTGTGCCAACTATTCATCATCTCAGTAGAAATGGATTGCATAGGTGGACGCTATATAAGGCAACAAAAACAACAACAAAACCTCCAAGAACTGTTTTTGCAGCGTATTTGCACCGGGGTGGGAAGTATTCATACCTCTTCCACCACATTTGCTGAAGTGTGGTCCATGGATTTCCAGCCTTGACGTCACATCTTGTAACAAGCCCCCAGAAAACTTTTTAGAGGAGATTGTAACAGGGTGGCAATTTTATTGAGTGCCCTTCATAGGTAGGGGTCACTTTCCAGGCACCCTTCGCTGTAAGCTCCCTCTCTCAGGCCCCTTAAGAACACCACAGAATTTCTCTTGGTTGACCGCATCTCCACCCAGGGCTGGTGTAATAACAGAAATGGTTCAAACAATCTTCAAAATGCCCCAAATAAATTCTATAACCATAACACAATTAAGCCAATTGAGTATCCACCCTTGTTTTTTTGCTATACATGGAATTCTTCCTCTTTCCCAGACTACTCCACCCAAAGCTGCCAATCCCTGTCTTTCTGACTGAAACTTAGCCCTCTGGCCACAGCGTCATTCTTCTGTCAGCCCTCATCTGTACCTAACCTCTCCTGCCTCCTTTATCTATCAGGTACTTTCCTAAAAGCACCTTTCTTATTTCCTGAACTTTCTCCCCTTCACTCTACCCACCGACTGTTCTTCATAGGAAACTATGAGTATGTCTACACAGCAGAGCTAAACTCAAAATAAACTACGCAACTTGAGCTTAAGTCGAAATAGCTTATTTCAAATTTGGGCGCATCTACAAAGCACTTATTTCAAAATAGAGCACTCTTCGTCTGACTTCCCTTACTCCTCGTACAATGACATTTACAGAAGTCGGAGTAAGAAGCCCGTTATTACAAATTTATTTTGAAATAAAGGGATTGCTGTGTAGATACACAATATTTGTAGACACACAATAATGTTGCTGTGTAGACGCACCCTGCCTGAGCTGCATATTTAGTAATCAGGGTTGGGTAACCCCTGACCTTATAGTCCTTAAAAGGCTGCTAGATATTGAATGATTTTAAGGAGAGGGACTTGTGGGACGTACAGGAATACATTCTTCTCTGACTTATGCTCCAGGAAATCTTACTGAAACATATCTTTCACAAAGAGTACACATATTTCTCCATGGACATATACTTAAGTGGCCAGAGTAAGAAGCACAAGTCTGGCTTCATAACCTGTCTCTACTTTGAGGCATGAGCTTAGATCTTCACCATGGTTATTTGGCTTTAACTATTAATATTCACATCAAGATCAATCATTTGTAAAGAGCAACTCTTGTGGTGTTATCCTTTAATAGTTAATACTAGAAGTCTTACCCGGCATTGCCCAGGTCCTTCAGGGCAGGGGGCAGGTGATGTGGGGGGTAGGGGGAACAGGAGTCAGGGTGGGAGGGTTGAAGAGGTGCTCAGGGCAGGGAGCTGGGGATGTGGGAGGGGGTGAGAGTGAGGGTTGGGGGTAGGATAAGGAGGGGCTCAGGGTAGGAGGCCCCATCCAGTGGGGCTTTCTGTCCCGCATCCCAGGTTGGAGATTAGAATCAGGCCCTAAGGATGAAATTCACTCCTGTGCAGGCACAAGGCCTCTGCACCATTTTAAGTGGAACTTAAGTACTGGACCTCTGCTCTAATGTGAATTTTTTGGCTAGCAGGTGCCTTCTCTACCCCCCTAGCTGCCCCAGCCAACAGGGATCTTTTTTCTCCCCCTGCCATCCTGGTCAGCAGGGCCTCACCCCACATCTGGCAAGGCTATCTCTGTCCCCCTCTCCCTGGTGCTGCAGACAAGGGCTTGGGGAAGGAAGAGTTTGGGCAAAGGGAGCTACTTCCCCATTCTGGTGGCAGGCGAGATGGTGAGCTCTAGCCCAGCTGGCCACTCTCTTGGTGGTGCCCCCAGAGGTCACTCTGCAGAATAGCTCTCCCCTGTGCTCACTGCCTCCGGTAGCCACTACCAGTATCATGTCCCCCCTCACTGTGCCCTAGATTTTACTGTTTAGGAGGACTTCTTGAACAAACAGCCACACAGACAGACAGACACACACACATACACTCTAAAATGTATGTATGTATATATATATATATGTGTGTATGTAGGTTCTTACAAAAACACGTGGAAAAGTTGTAGTAATGGCAATGACTGCACTGCCATCTGCTGGTGGGAACAAAGCTGATCTACTTAAAAATTCCTCAAGTTTAGCAACAGTTGCCCAACACCTTTTGGATTACAGCATTCCAGACAAGAAGGTCTAACTCTTTTATAGCTTCTGTGGCCCCCTCGTATTCCCAAATGAAAAATAATGCCAGCTTCTTTCCATAGAATACCATCTGTGTTTAAACTACTCTTTCTTAGCATACTAGCCAATTAGCCCGTCATAAGACGGGATTTTCAGGTCTCTCCTCCACGTCGGTCTTCTCTCCTGAGCCTCCGGTCTCTCGCTCCATCTCTCTCTCTCCTCCTTCTACTGCCTCCCCTCTCTCTCTTTCACTTCTCCTCCGCCTCCTGCCTCTCACTCAGGGGACCGCAGAGCCCAAATGGCTGGTTGGGCTAAGCCCTTCCCGTGCTGCATAGGGGGTGTGGAGCCCAAACAGTCGCTTGTGCTGCTTGCTCCCACACGGCGGCCTGGCTGACCAGCACAGAAGTCAGCCGAGCGCCATGGCGGGAGGCGAAGGGGGGCGGGATGGTGACGTTCACGGCCAGGGGGCGGGGCCTGGAGCCGCTATCATGCCGCACGTCACTGCCCCGCCCCTCTTCGCCTCCCACCGTGGCACTTGGCTGACTTCTGCGCCGCTCAGCTGGGCTGCCATGGGGGAGCAAGCAGCGCAAGCGGCCATTTGGGCCTCGCACTCCCCATGCAACACAGGCCACCCAGAGGGAACAGCCAGCATTTCGGCATTACAGACTCAGACACTGGGCTACTATGTGCCTCGGATGACACGTGACCACCGAATTTCATCACCGAATTTGATCATCGAATTTGATCCACTGGTTGGATCATTGGCTCCTGGGCCCAGGCCAGGTACCGACGGGGAGAACAATATGAACACTGATCCATGCTCCTCTTTAAAAACTGCTGAAGAGGTTTTTTTCGCTCCAGAAGACAGCAAATTACTGTGACACTGCTGATCTGCCTATAGGATGCCATGATGACAGTAGAGTTTGGTTGGTTTCTTCCTGTAATCAAAATGGGAGGCCTATTAGATTACCTAGTCCATTCTCTTGCTAGGGAAGAGCTGTTCTCTAGTGATGAAATTCACTCCAATGCAGAGGGAGCCTCACAAGGCAACACACGCCCACTATAAATCCTTAGACCCAGACCTGCAGCTGCATCAGAGCTACACCCAATGCGTCTGAGCAGTTAGAACATAAGAATGGCCATACTGGGTCAGACCAAAGGTCTCTCTATCCCAGTATCCTGCCTTCCGACAGTGGCCAGTACCAGGTACCCCAGAAGGGGTAGACTGAAGACCATGATCAAGAAATTTGTCTCCTGCCATCCTTCTCCAGCCTTTGACAAACAGAGGCTGGGGCACCATTCCTTACCCCCTGGCTAACATCCTTTTATGGACCTAACTTCCATTAATTTATCTAGCTCTTTTTTAAACTCTGTTATATTCAGTTGGGGTACAAAGGTGGCTGTAAGCCAGCCTTGTATTCCCCCAACCATATAATTTAGAACATTGTCAAAGTGGTGCTAAATTATGCCTCTCTGCAACAGCCCCTAGAGCAGCACTACCATCAGGCCTTTCTCACCCAGACTTGTGCCCAACATACTGAGGCTGGGAAGGCAGGCGGTGGAGTGTGATTTTCCCTTATGTTGGGATAATTCAGCCATCTGATTTACAATAGCTATCACACACTGGAACAGTGAAAAGTAGGCAAAACAGAGGCTATAATCTGGCCCATAAGATAAAATTCACGTCAGTGCAGAGGCCCAGTACTTACATCCCACTTAAAAGGATGCAGAGGTCTTGTGCCCTCACAGGAGTGAATTTCATCCTTAGGGACTAATCCTAATCTCTCTTTGACTAGATTTCCACACATGTGTGCCTTCAGTAATATCGGTGGCTATAAATTGGTGTGAGACTAGGATAATCCAGCCCTTATGGTGGGGCTTCAGGGGTGGTTATGATCATGTATGATGTCTCAACTCGCATGGATTTTGCCTTGAAAATAGGTCAGAAATTATATCTGAGGCTTTTAGTAGGGCTCTCTGTATTTGAATGGATTGCACCCTAGTGTAACCAGTGTTTTGGGAAGTCTGGCATTAAATGTTCCAAATGTGGAATGCCCCGCTTACTGCTATTGTTGCAAATACCCGTTCTATCAGATTTATTTTTAAATTTCAAGCTGTAACCATTTAGAATGTTTTGTTTTTAATCTTTGCAGGCTTTGCTCTCCTTGGGGGACATCCTTGTTTCCTCACAACCCAAGACATACATTTGGGTATTAACGAGAGCCTCACAGATACAGCACGGTTGGTAAAATATCATGGGATTGTTTGTGAGAGTGCTAGATCTGTCTGAAATTGGTGAGAAAATGTGAAATAAACATGCCAGGTTGCTGATAACTTTTTGAATGATTTTAGAGTCCCCAAGTATTTGGTTTCCATGAAACTTCAAAGACTCACCAATATTCTCCACATTTTTGCAGTTTGCAAAATTCATTCATCCGGTTTTTTGCATTTTTTTTCTATCCAGTGAGGCAGAATCGAGTCCTTGGTTTTTCCCCTACTGGATGCTATAGGAAGTTGGCCAGAGCTTTAAAAACCACAGATGTGTGATTCTGGGATGCATTTAGAGGAGCATTGTGAGCAAGACACGAAAAGTCATTCTTCCATTCTACTCTGCACTGATTAGGCCTCAATTGGAGTATTGTGTCCAGTTCTGGGCACTGCATTTCAAGAAAGATGTGGAGAAAATGGAGAAGGTCTAGAGAAGAGCATAAAAAATCATTAATGATTAAAGGTCTAGAAAACATGAGCTATGAGGGAAGGCTGAAGGAATTGGGCTCATTTAGTGTGGAAAAGAGAAGGCTGAGAGGAGACATGATAGCCAGTTTCCTGTATCTAAAAGGGTGTCACAGGGAGAAGGAGGGAAAATTGTTTTTCTTGGCCTCTGAGGATAGCCCAAAAGGGTGCTACAAGGAGGAGGGGAAAACACTGTTCTCCTTGGCCTCTGATGATAGAACAAGAAGCAATGGGCTTAAACTGCAGTAAGGGAGGTTGAGGTTGGACATTAGAAAAAACTTCCTAACTGTCCAGGTGGTTAAACACTGGAATAAATGGCCTACAGTGGTTGTGGAATCTCCATCTCTGGAGATATATAAGAGCAGGTTGGATCGACCTCTTTCAGGGATGATATAGAGTGTGTTTGGTACTGCCATGAGGGCAGGGGACTGAACTTGATGATCTCTCGAGGTCCCTTCCAGTTCTAGTGTTCTGAGTCTATGAGGCTTCATACCTAAGGCTCCAAGGCTTAGAAATAGTAGAGACTGATGATTAATGTAAAGGGGGAAAGAGGCCTGTAAAAGGCCCCCAGGTTTTATTACAGTTGAAATATAGTCCTGTTGCAGTTAAGTGTTTGTCAGCGTTTCCACTGAGAACACATTTTAGTAGCTTGTAATTTGGCCATAACAAAGCTCCTCTGTGCTCCGTAATAGCTGTTAAAGACATACAGTTACATGGTAACAGAGTTCTATCCTATGAAGGGTCTTTAACATTTTCACTGCTGCTTAGTGTGGCTGATATAATCAAGCAAACTGAAACGCTGCCAGTATTCCATATACCAGCTGTGCTGTATTGTTCTGCTGTGTAATCAATGCATGCTGGCCCATCATACAGGTGCTGCAACATAGATGCTGAGGTGCTGCATTGGCACTAAAGCAGTCAGTGGGTAAACTTGACAATCCACTGAGATTACCAGAGATCAATATCTACAGTTATAAGATGTAGGCTTGTACCTTTGACCTGTCCACCACTTATGCAGAACAAATATGCCCAAAGCCACTGTTAATAACTGTATTAGTGATTTGGTAGCCTTATTAGAAGATTAAACCATTTTATTCAATACACAGTAGGGATATAGATTTTAGATAGAAACACTTCCCTATCTCCTTGGTCTTTTGGGAGCTGTTCCATGAGTCTGCACTATTACCCAATCCAGTGCTCCCAAATCCTGAGATTAGCTTTAAAAGCAGGAGATTTTTAAAACCCTGAAGTACTTTTTCTTTGCCTTTTGGTTTTTGAACCTTTAAAAATGCACTTGGCACACGGAGGAAAGTGTGACATCCACTCTCCTTTCCCCAACCCGCATTAGGGATAGAAACTTTTTTTTCAATACAAGCTGAGGTTCACCTGTAAGCACATGTCTACAGGACCTGGAGGTTTTAATACCAGGATGTCTAATCAGTTCCGAAGCAGTAGCCACTATAGTAGTAGTTTGCTACTGCTATAGCAAACTAGCCATACTCAATCGGCCAAATAGCCACATTGTTCAAACCAGGTAGCCATACTCAACCGGCCAAATAGCCACTTGTGGCTAGTGTGTTGGATACCACGGATTTAAGAAAAACACCAAACATCTCAAAACTCACAAAGAACATAAGAGCTACACGCTTTAACATAGGAATCCTGGTAACGTCCCTTGATACTGGGTCATCACTGATAGCTCCATCAGAGTTCTGGGACTCGCCCCTCTGATCATCTTCAGAAACTCACAAATACCCTAATTGCCTCTAGCTTCTCTCAAAATGTCTCTTAGTCTAAGTGTCTCCTTTTGGGAAACCCAGCTGTGTGCTGTTTCTTTCAAATTAGCTCCAGCCCAAGGACTTTAGCTCTGTAGTTTAGTGTAGAACTTTGATGCTATTTTAACTGTGTTACTGTGCATGTCACACTATATAATTGTATGTGCTACACATTAGGATGGTACTGTTGTTCTCTGACTTCAATGTTCATTAAGATAATTAAAATATCACACTTAAAACTGAAAAGACCAAGTAGATCATCCAAGTCCTAAACCCTGGAAAGGCAAATGTATGTCTACATTACAAAAACAGTCACATTCTGTAATATTGTATTTGTTCATTGCCAAATTGCTGAGGAGAAATATTATACTTTACGTCTCTCTGAGTTATCGACTCCCTGTCATTTTATATTGTCAAACATTCACCTCTGTTAACTGCACATTTATTAATGATGCATCATTTGTTCTGCTGGAGTTACGTTCAAAGATGAAACAGAAAATCATTGAATGGGGGTACATGTGTGGAACAATAATTTCCTTTTACTTCTTATAGCTTGTTAAATGTTTGCATTTTAGTGAATTATGCAGACATCATATATTATTCAGGGAGATGGGGAAATTTTATTCATTATCACGACTTATTAATATTTATGGATTGTAGATTGAAGAATAAAGTAGCAATAATAAGTTGATTATGTTTGACTTTTATATTTTTGCTGTACCATAGGGTGCTGTCTAGCATGACAAATGCAGTCTTGGCCCGAGTTTATAAACAATCGGATTTGGATCTGTTGGCAAAAGAAGCCTCCATCCCAATAGTCAATGGGTTGTCTGATTCATACCATCCTATCCAGATTTTAGCTGATTACCTTACACTTCAGGTAATAATACTTTGCCTTTATAACAGCAACTCTTAGAAAGAAGTTGGTCTTGCTAAATATTTGGAGAAGTCTTATTCCAAGCAGTTTATCCTTAGATATTTTGAGATGGAACTGATATATAATTTAGAACAATTGTTGATTATAGAGGACCCAGTCCAACAATACACTTGAAGCAATTGAAGAATCCCATCAATTTATGTGGGAATGGGTTTAAATTTATACTTAAATTTCATGCTGGATAGTGCAAACAATTTGCAGGGTTCTTTACATATTAAGATAACGGTTAGGTCCTCTCTCCACTGAACTCAATGTAAGTTTTGCCATGAAGCCAGCATTTCATACTGAAATTCTTGCCCTAACCTGTTTATAGTTCAGTCTGAGACTTTGTCTATACTAGAAAGGTGAACTGGTTTAACTAGGTTGATTTTTAAATCAATCTAGTTAAACCAGTACAGATCTCTAGGGAAGATGCACTTAAACTTTGTGTATACCGAGACGGAACAACTTAGGACCATATTTTGTTGTTCTGATTTTAATACAGTATTTTATGTGATAACTATATGGAATTATATACAGACAGGGCCAGATCCTTATGCAATTCAAGTCAGTGTAGTTTACTGAAGTGAATAGAGCTATGCCAATTTACAACCAGCTGAAGAACTGGCTTATAAAATTCATCAGAACATTGTAGGGTATGATGAAAATTTTGGCAAACTCTTCCTTACTTCTAAATGAATAGAAGCTATTTTGTATGAATGAGATCTATTTCCTAGATCATTCAGTCATCCCTCAGCTGACGCAGGCCCAAATGGAGGAGAGTGTGTGGCAGAGATCCAGAATGACGTAGAGAGGAAATTATTCATGCAGGAAACTTTAAATGTTGTTGGTCTCATTCCTTCAATTCAGTGATACTCAGACCTCAGTGGTTCAGGAGTCAAATTACCTACCAACACTACTCAAAGAAATCCTACTAGTGTGAATTCATTGTTTCATGTGCTGTCGTACATGTATTCACATTTAAATATTAAAGACAGGGGAAATATGTAGTTTTTATATAGATATAGATTATTCTCACAGCAAAATGACTGACCAAGTATTATTAATTTATCAGCTACAATTGGCTAATAATTAAGTCACACAGTGTTTTAATATCATGTGCTGCAAAGAGCTGCAGGAGACACAGTATGAGCCATTTGAGGCTCAGGGGTCTTGGTCTGAGTATCACTGATTCAGTGTAACTAACTCCTTCTGCATGCAATGAGCCTGTTTTTGTTAGAAGCCATCTTCAGTTCAGCTATAAAACTGAGGTGACACCAAGATTTTATGGAACAGAAGTAACCTTGGGACTGAAATGAGTCATCCTCAGAGTGAGGTACACTTGAGAGAGATACACTGAGCCAGCCTTAGGGTGCTACTTAACTTAAATAAAGCTGTGAGTCATAACTAGAACTTTGGAAATGATAAACATAATTTATTTCATTTAAATGCAGAGTGTAATTGTAAATAGTTTCATCTGGGCTTTTATTTTGTGTCTCACAAACACTTTACCTACCAGCATTTATTTTCCCACCAAAGGTTAGCAAGTTTTCAATAGTCATATATGACTCATATGTTTTATATAATGGTATTAATAGTCTCTACTTGCCAACTGCACTGCCACTCACTCCTGCACTGTCACTTGTACCCTGGGATGCCTTTAGATGGAGCTTAGATAGCACACAATATTAACTTCTGTGTTTTTCTGATTTTTCTTCGGTGCTTGGAGAGAAAAACATGACTCAAGGGTAGCTAGTTCCTGACTCCCATTCCTGTGCACAGTCCTGCCCTGTGGTTTTCCAGGAGAGGTTAAGCAGGGGTGTCACGGTGTATGCACACCCCATCACATGCAGGAAGAGGCCCAGGGGTGTTTGGATGCTGCTTACACTGTAGTTGGTTCATAGGTGATTTGAAACAGACTGTCACTCCAAAGCAGTATGGTCTAATGGCCAGAGTCTGTAGCATAGCCCATGGGTTCCAGGCAGCACAGCCTGATGGCTACAGTCAATAACAGAGCCCCAGGGTTCAGAGCAGTACAGCCTAATGGCTAGAGTCAGTAACACAGCCCCAGGATTCAAGGCAGCGCACCCTAAAAGCTAACATATTAGGAGTTTTGGGCAGCAGCCTTAGTAGGGGCCCAGGCCAACCCGACTCCACTGGGCCCCAACCCAGGACGGGACATACCACTTGGGTCGGAGATACCATTCGTGCACCCTCCCTGGATCACTTCCTACTATCTACATGGTTTTAGGGTCCTTTGGCTCCAGTCTCTCCCTGCGGTTCCACTGGTTTGGGAGGCTCGAGGCGATCTCCCGGGTTCCTGGCTCCCATCATCCAGGTCTCTGGCTAGGTTACCTCTGGAACTCCTGCAGCAGGTCCTTCCTCTCCAATGTCCAGGCCAGACTGAGCTGAGCTGCTCCCTTTTATACTGCCCCAACACTTGGAGCATGTCCAGTCTGCCTGGAGGTGTGGGACTTCCTCTGCCCACAGTGTTTTAACCCCTTCTGTCTTAGCACGGCTTATGCACACCCCGTCACAAGGGGTCTCAAACTCACAGCCTGCAGTCAATCAATCACTGGAGTGTTTCTGCAATCTGGCTTGGGAATCCTGGTGGCCCGGGGCGGGGGAGGGAGGAGTATCCATTCCCGTCCCCCAACCCCTCTCTTCTCGCCACCGCCACACCTTCTCCCTCCCTTCAGTAGCCCTTTTTCCTAAGGGACATGGCCTTGGAGATGGCAGCAGGGGTCGGGCCATCCTGTACTCACTGTAGTGTCAGGAGCCATAGGGAACCAGCTGCTTCCCCACACCAAGCCCCCTGGTAGTTCCCAAGGCCACGTCTCTTGGGGGAAGGGGTGTAATAGGGTAGGAGAGGGTAGGTGTGGCAGGAAGGAGCAAGGCTTGGGGGACAGGTACAGATACATATACACCAGGCAGCCAGGATTCCTGGGCCAGATTGCAAAAATACTGTGGCCATAGATGGCCTGTGGGCCATGATTTTGAGATCCCTGCGATAGATATATAGGATGAGAGTCTGTGTTTTAGAGAGGTGCAGTACACGACTTGAAGGGTAGAGGGAGTGGGAGCTAAGCCACTTTAGGACACTCCTGATTCTGGACTGTGCTACAGTTTTCTGCCTAATTTAGATTAGGTTGGGGACCTGTTCACGTTATTTCACCCTTACGAGGCTGCCCAAATTGTAGACCCACCCTGAAAGACCCCTGCCGACCACCGACGTCCTCCTGTCAAGGTTTGCCTGGGGGGGTGGGGTGTCTTCAGAAAGCAGCTTCATAGCTGTCTCCTATACTTCCTTTGCCAAAGGAATCTTCCCCTAGCCTGATGTGGGACTTTTGGCCCCCTCCCTTTATACTGCTCTGACCCTTTTTCCCAGAGTGAAAAGGGTGAAGCATGGGTAAAAATCTCATTCATAGACTACTGCAGGTGGCTACCCACAAAGTCTCTTTTCCTCTCTTTCTTGCCTTTCTGCTGTGGGATTTACTTAGTTTTCATCCTCATGCTCAGAAGGGGAACATAACAGCCATGTTGTGCACTGTGTTGTATTTGCAAAAAACGGTACTTAATAACTTAGTGAATTTCCCCAGTTCTAAGAACAGAGGTAGTATATTGCACAGGTACCATTGGCTTCACAAAGTCCAATTGTTACTTCCTGTAACAGGACTACAGAGTTTCTTGCAAGGTTTTCAGGCAGGTGAAGATATATATTATCTGAATGCTGGCCTTGGGAAGACTAACCTAGTAGAGCATGTGCCTAGTTATTTTTAAAATCAGCTAAAAAGGCATTGTTGTGATATCTAGGTTGATAGGTTGTGTACATATAAAATTTGTTAGATAGATGTACACGCAAAATGCAGTAGGGACAAAGAAACCTTAAAGTAAATGTTTATCTAAACAAGACTAACCTTAGGAAAAAAATTCTTTAGTAACATTTATTACCTCAGCTTTATAAATAGTGAACTGCAATTTCTCTTTCAGTAGTGTACCCCCAGAATTCCTCCATTAGGAGACTGATTTTTCTTTTTTCTGTGTTTGTCATTGGATCTCCATTTTCCTCAAGTCTTTGATATTTTAATATCATTTTATTCTTCCCTTTTATAATTCCCATCAATATGTTTTTCCTTTTTACAGCATCACTTTTACTATATCCATTTATACACACATACTCCAGAAAATGCTTCTGGTTTATTTTTAGAGCCTTCTCTATTTCTGTCCTGTGTTCAGAGCACTGCATTTCTGACAGGCTGTGAGTTGTGCTCCAGTCTCACAAAGACTATGTTCAGATGCCTCAAATTCAGTGTCTTCTTATTCTATAGCCATTGCCTGACTGAGCTGGAATTTTCACACATTAACTCCACGAGACAGCTTTCCCTTTTCCAATGCTCAGCTTAAAGCTCTCACCTAGAATAAGCATTGTGCAATTAAGTGTTTTTTCTAGTCACGATTATGACCATCCTTTCCAAATGGTTGGTGAGCTAAGTATTCTCCTGGGTGCAGTTGTGACCCAACAGATCTTCAGTGTTTTGAGACAATTTTGGGTATTATTGAGACCTGGCCTTCTAGAACTATAGGCTTATATGCCGTTAGTGTACACACAGGTTTCCCATTCTCTTCCATGCTTAAGGATCCTGACAGCCACTTCCATAGTTCATCCAGTACTTAACATTGTTTAGTATAAGCTCTGGCTTAGTAAGAGGTGTTCTGTGAAGGTTGGCTGATGAACAGTTTTGTAGATCTTCATTTCTCTGTCCAGGTCAGCTGGCTCACATGTCAGTTTGTCAATATCTCACCTCATTCTTATTTTCCTTGTCTGAAATCAAATGTTTCCTATACCACAATCCCTTTTGGAGAGAGGTGGGTCAGGCACATTGCTAACTCTTTCTGAAAATGATCCTTAACCTCTGATATCTGGTTAGTTGATCAGTGATATATAAATGTCACTGACCTCTTTA